TAAAATAACTGGATGACCTACCTGTCTGTCAGCCTTCCATCTGTGCACAAACTTATCTCGTGCCCTCATTGGTCATGTGCGTGTTCGTGTGTGTTGGAGGAGGGGCTCTGTAAGGAAGTGGCAGATTTTTTCCGACTGTGTATTTTCAAATTCTAGCGCACTCGAGCTGGTTTCTCCAAAATTACCTACCCCACCTTTAATGTATAACAATTATTTACAAAACATGTCTCTTTAAACACACCATACCCGAAAAGGAGCAGGGAGAAGAAAATAATCTTATATGACCTGCCCCTTTCTCAAAAAAAAAAAAAATAGATGGTCTGTCCTTCATATTTTCTTATTCACAGCCAATCATTACAGTACTGTAGGAAAATAAGAGAAACACAAAAATGTACAAAAAAGAAAAAATACTTAGTTTCCACTTGACTGCTATACCTCCAATACTCAGTCTAATGTTCCTCCTGCTGTTGAGGATGTTAGAGTTTGTATCACCGTTTTGTTTCTCCTCCTCAGGAGCAACGGGCATCGAGGACCGGCTGCAGGACGGCGTCGCTGAAACCATCGCGTCGCTGCGGCAGGCGGGTCTTCAGATCTGGGTTCTGACGGGAGACAAACAGGAAACGGCCGTCAACATCGCCTACGCCTGCAAACTGCTCGACCCCGAGGAGGAGATCCTGACGCTCAACGCCGACTCTCAGGTGGGAGGGAGGAGCAATAGTCAATCAAACAGGAAAAAAACACCAATACGTTAGCATTCTGACGTTAGCATTCTGACGTTAGCATTCTGACGTTAGCATGCTGACGTTAGCATTCTGACGTTAGCATTCTGATGTTAGCATTTAGCTCTCAGCTCCACTTTATCTGTATTTATATAGCACCTTTCATGCTTGACATACCCCAGAGTGCTTTACAGAGTACAAACAAGAAGATGAAATATCTACTTGACAGTCATGAAAGTAGTATCAACAATTTCATCTCCCTCTTGGCGAGACATTCACTCACAATAATATTGAGTTTCTCGTCTCTGAAACACATTTTTAAAGAGGCCATTTGAGGACAATGTTAATTCTTAACAGCTTCACATCTGTGTGCCAGATGTTGCTCAGTTTACCTGACGAGCCGCTGTGTTTCTGAGCAGGAGGCGTGTGCTCTGCTGCTGGACGAGAGTCTTCACTACATCCAGGCCAAATTCCTCTGCAGCTCCTCGGATCACACCACCACCAAATCTTTCCACAGCAACGTCTCCCCCTTCGGGATCTTCACCCCCCCTCCTCCCTCCTGCCCGCCCGCCCCCCCCGCGGTGCACCAGATCGGCCTGGTGATCGACGGCCGCACGCTGGCCTACGCTCTGGACCAGAGTCTGGAGGAGAAGTTCCTGGCCGTGGCTCAGAGCTGCCGCGCGGTGCTCTGCTGCCGCTCCACGCCGCTGCAGAAGAGCATGGTGGTCAAACTGGTGCGCAACAAACTGAAGGTCATGACCCTCGCCATCGGTACGTTCAACATCCACGACCCTTACTGTTTCAGCAATCGAAATTCTGACCTTTTTCTGAAAATATCTCAATTTTCTGAAAATACAGATTTATGCAGAACATCTCAGAATTCTGATTTTTTTTCTGTAAAATGTTCAAATCCTGACTTTTTACCCAAAAATATATAAATTCTATCAATTTCTGTCAATTCTGACTTTTTTCTGAAATCTCTAAATTCTGACTTTTTGCCAAAATTCTCTTAAAGGTAAGGTATGTAAGTTTGAGAAAACGGCTCGAGATCGCTATAATTTGAAAATACACGACCGGAGAAAATCTGCCACTTCCTTACAGAGCCCCTCCTCCAACACACACGAACGCGCACATGACCAATGAGGGCACGAGATACGTTTGTGCACAGATGGAAGGCTGACAGGCAGGTAGGCCATCCAGTTATTTTAGCCGGGCCGGCTCAGATGATTGGTCGTGCTTTTTACAGAGCTACGGCTTCCACATATGACATTTTTTATGGATTTGTTGTCAAAGCACTTAAGATATTCATTGCTATCGGGATGTTAAGAGCATTCCATGGAATATAACAAAAAGTGTATCTCGAGCCGGTTTCTCAAACTTACATACCCCTACTAAATCCAGACTTAAGCAGAATATCTCAGAATTCTGACTTTTTTCTAAAATGTCAGACTTTTTTCTCATGAATCTGAAATGTTCCGACATATTTTGAGACTTTTTTCCCTCAAATTCTGGATTTTATCAAAAAATCCGGATTTCTGACAATTTCAAAATTCTGACTTTTTTCCCAAATCCTCAACATTTTCTGAAAATACATGCTGATGCAGAAAATCTCAGAATTCTGACTCTACTCAAATTTCTGACTTTTTTCTCATAAATCTGACATTTTCAGATTCTCAAATTCAGAATTTTGTCTAAAAATTCAGATTTCTGACATTTTCTGAATTCTGACTTTTTAATGAAAATCTCTTTCAAAACTTTTACTTGTTATGCAAATGTTGAAATTCCCGAAATGTTGTAGCTACCAGTGGAAATCCAACCATCACGATGTTTATCTAATATTTTCCCGATGCCAAGCTTTAAATTTAGAGCTAATACTTTTTCATGAAATAAGTGAAACAGATGTTTTATTTCTGATCCTGGTGATTTCTCATGTGTTTGAGGAGTCTTCACTACAGAGAGCTTCAAAGGTATTTGATAAAAAATGTCTGGAACTTCAGAAGTGTTTTTCTGACTAAAAGAGTGAAATATTGCTCATTGGTTTCACCTGTTGGCAGGGCTTTAACATTCCCCTCAGATTTATCCTCCGAGTCACGAGGTACTTCATGTACTCGCTGCTCTGGCTGAGAAACAAAGAATTCATCATTAAATAAACTGCTACTGACGAATAAATAACCTGCAGCTGATATTATTCATACATTTACAAACTTTACCAACTCTGGTTTGAGAGTTTGTAGAAACAGAATCAGGAACAGATACGAAAAGTGACCAGTGTCATATTTCTCTTGAATGTCAATCTGGTTTTCCTGTGTTTATAAAATGAGGTTAGATTTATTGTTCCAACATGTACAGAATATACATACGATGTATAAACAACAACACAGTGGTTCCCAACCTAGGGGGCGCAGGTGGGGCGCCAGGTCTCAGATGATTTGAGGGCAAATATCATATTTTACATATAATTGTAACGCAATACATGATTGTCACTAAAAGCCTTGTCTATACATTATAATAAAATATAAAAAATAATTGATTAACAAATTCAAGTTAGTAGCTATTAAAGGCATAAAAAGACAGAAAAGTATAATTTTTTCTTTAATATAAATGTTTCTTCTGCACGTTAAGTGTCCAAACCGGGCTTGTCTGGATAAGCGCATTTTTAAAACATAGTCATTGTCCATGCCGGTTTCAGTTGGATTATTTGTCACAGTTGCTCCGATCAGATCGGTCTCCTCCATTTTGTAGATTATTTACGACTTTTGAATCCACATAAACACATCGGCAAAATCCGGCTTACTTTGAGCATGTGTTTTAAACAGTTTAATCCCAGTGTGAATTGTTTTCCACTTGCGCCGTCCTTTAATTTCTTCATACAGCGGGAATCCAAATGAATGAATCCTGAGTCCAATAACCATCAAGTCACTCCAATAGTGCTCCTTAATTACGCTTTCGTCCTCCTTTAACAAAATACTTCACATTCATCCAGGTTGTGACAGTAGTTGTAGCATTTTTGAGACTTTTAAACTTTAATTACCGCAACTTCCAACAGGAGTCATTTGGGGGGACTCTTGGGAAAAATGGTTGGGAACCACTGCTCTAGACCAACAATTTTTTGGAGCTGGAAGTGAACCGGATTCCGGAGCTAAGAGGCGGCGCCGCTGCGGTGTGAACAGGAAAAAGCGGTATTTTCAGGCTCCAGCTCCGAGCCGGAGCTGAGAACGTGTTGGTGTGAAAGGGGCATGTGAGGACACCGCCACTCGCAAGACAGGAAGTGCATGC